ACCCCCTCCCGGAGAGGTTTGCCGAGCTCCGGGGGCTATGCGACCTATCTTTTAGGCCCCCGCGACCCCTACTACTCACAGATGCCGAGGCTGCCGTGCTCCTAGACGAAGGGGTAGCCTTCCAGCCCGTGACCCACGAAAATGCATGGGGCCCGAAGGAACTCCTACAAGCGTTTTCGATAGATACCTCGGTCGAAGCCGAGATCGATGGAGAAACTGAAACGGCAAACGAACCGGTCACTCCGACAGATAGTCGACTCATAGCCACCATAGATTCGGTAAAAACCAACAATTCCCTGTTCGGGGCCTCTTCGGAGGAAACTGCTCGGGTCCCAACTCTCACATCAACGGTTTCCCTTCCTAATGGGAACATCGATATTCAGGTACCTGCCCATGTACCCCATGAATATCGATGTCTCCTCCTGGCGGTTATACAGGCCTACCCCGAAGCGATTAGTATCCAAGATCATGATATAGGGGTGACACACGTGATAAGCCACGCCATTGATACCGGGGACCACGCCCCCATACACTGCCGACCATACCGATACTCACTGAAGGAACGACAACTAGCCTTGGAAATGGTACGGGAATTCGAGCGTCTGGGATGGGTGGAACCCTCCCTTGGCCCTTGGTCATTCCCTGTGGTCCTCGTGCCGAAACGAAATGGGACAGTCCGCGTCTGTATCGACTATCGGAAATTAAACGCCACTACCTCGTATCGACGATCTTTTGGATGCTATTGGTTCTGCACGAGTTTTCTGGGAGTTCGATATTCGGCATGGGTTTCACCATGTCGCGGTCCGACCGGAAGATAGGCCCAAAATGACCTTTGTCTGATTCGAAGGCACGTGGCAGTGGGTCCGATGTCCTATGGGAATATGCAATGCACCTGCGATGTTCCAGGGAGCCATTAATATGGCCTTCGCAAAGTTCGTCAACAAAACTCGCCTGACCCAACCACTGGTAATTTTTTGCATGATTGTGTTTATGGACGACATTTTGTTTTTTTCTAAAACACATGAGTACCATGTGGAACATGTCAAGTGGGTCATGCATGCCCTAAAAGACGCGGGGTAAGTTCAAAGTGGCTTTGGAGAAAAGCGAGTTTTTCCTCTCGGAAATCTCCTTCTTGGGGTACATCGTCACAGTGGACGGCTTGAAACTAGATCCAAGGAAGGTGGCAGCGTTTCAAGAGGCACCGGTGCCTGTCACGCTTACTCAAGTTCGAGCCTTTCTCAGTCTGGCTTTATATTGTCGACGGTTCATCCAAGGGTTTGCTCGCGTTGCCAAGCCTTTGACCAACTTGCTGAAGAAGGAGGAATAATTGATTTGGACGCTGGAGTGTGAGGCGGCTTTTCGGGCGCTCAAGAAGGCCCTGACTACTGCGCCAATCCTGGCGTGCCCAGACCCGACGAAACCGTTCGCCCTGCACACCGATTGGCAGTAGCAGGCAATATCAGCGGTGCTGACTCAGCAGGGAGCGGACGAGAAGGAGCACGTCATCGAATACGCCTCAAGGACCCTGAGCCAGGAGCGATCAAATTACAAAGCTTGCAAGGGCGAGTGCTTGGTGGTGGTGTGGGGAATCCAGCATTTTCGATCGTATCTCCACGGCCAAAAGTTCGTCCTCGTCACGGATCCTCAACTGTTGCTGTCCTTGCGGAACAACACGGTTTATACGGGAACCTTGGGAAGGTGGGCGGTGAGGCTGCAAGACTACGATTTCGACATCCGCCACCACGCGACCAAGCAGCACGGAAATGCGGACGGATTGACTCGTCTCCAGCCGCCGAAGAAGTGCCCAACGAACGAACGACTCATTCCATGGAAAGAAGTTACGCCTCGCTACGGAGAAGTGCACGTCATTTGTAAGGGAAGCACGGGGGCGAGAGATGGCGACCCCTCTTGAAACGATAGCGACCTCTTCCTCCTCCCCAAACCCTTCGTCCTGCCCGTCTATCCCTCCCTCTCCCCCTAACCTATCCCGACAGTCCCGCTTTTTCTGCACCTTGCCTATGATACCGGACCGGGAGGGCGGGCCTAGTTTTATCTCATGGGTACGATGCAGCCAGTGCCGCGTGATCTGGGCCCATGGATATTGTGTTAGGTATCGGAATGAGAAGAAGTGGAACTGTCCTAAGTGCTGAATGAACCGAATGCCTACCGAAAAGCAGTATGTAGAAGTTAGGACAGAAGACGGATTCTTGCCAAGTGTCCGTAGAGCAGGGGTCTGGACGAATGTCCTCCTGTGGAGAAGACTCAAGGGAGACCCGCTGACGGAGCTTACAAAGGCGGAACGTCGGCGAGTCACCGAGTGACTATGAATACCCCGCGGTCACGGTCGCCGCAGGCACGACCGCGGACCGCAGTCTCGGCCGCGAGGCCGCGGTCATGACCGCGGTCCGCGATCATGAAAAAAAAAAACGAAAAAAAAAAGAATTCAGAAAAATCTGAAAAACATATATGTTATGCCAAAAAATAAACTGAACAACTTTTACCTGGGGATCATATTAGAATTCATTACCAAATTTGAGATAAAAATCAAACAAAATCCTTTATGTTTCTTACTAAAAGAATAAAGAACGACCATTTTGTCAAAATGGACTTTTTTTTTTTTGAACGAAATTGAAACCGAGTTTTTTGGCCGAAAATTCGTCAAAATTTGTTGTTCCCGAGGGTCCAGCATTACAAACGCTGGACCCCCTGGCTGTACATGGACCTAGCTTGAGACCAGGCACCTCTAGGCAGGATTGCCTGGAGGTACCTGGTCTCAAGCTTGGTCCATGTACAACCAGGGGGTCCAGCGTTTTACAAACGCCGAACCCTTAGGAACAACAAATTTTGACGAGGTTTTGGCCAAAAAACTCGGTCTCAATTCCGTTAAAAAAAAAAAGATATCCATTTTGACGAAATGACAATTTAAGTGAAAAACTTTTGCTTGAGGGATTTCTGTTTTTTATTTTATTTTTTTTAATAAAAAGAAGTCAAAAAATAAAACTAAAAATATACGGTTGTAAAGCGCACAAAAACCTACAACCCCATATTTTTTATTTTGTTTTTGGCCTATCATCCTAGGATTTAAAAATGTTGGGGTTTTCCGACCGCACTTGGTCGGGGGTGCCACCCGCTGCGGTCGGGATGCCGACCAAGTGCAGTCAAATGGCCCGCGGTCACACCGAGGGTGATACATAGCCGAGCGAGCTCATGATTACCGGTGGCAGGAATCAGCCCTGCAAAAGCGAAAAGACAATGACGATAGTGGGTCTAGTTGGCTGACGGTTCCGCATCCTCTCGCTAGGTTCGATTGGACACGAGCTGGGCACGAAGAGGATGCGGTCCATTTTGCGGTCAAATACACGAAAAAAGCTATAGAGAAAAACGGATGGTATTGGTCGGGGATTCGGGAGAATGTCAGATACATCGTCCAGAACTGCCCGGCCTGTGCAACCGATATGGCGCCGGTACAGATGCCACAAACGATGGTACCGACTAGAGTTGAACGTCCCTTCCAACGGGTTAGCATCGATACGACAGATATCAACGTACCAAGAGGTCCCGTCGATCAGGGCGAGCTCAATTTCCTTTTAGTGGCCGTCGATCATTTCTCCAAATGGATCGAGGCCTATCCTATGACTAGTCGGAACTCGCAAGAAGTAGCCTGGTACATCAATCGTTTTATGTGCATGCACTTGGACGTAGAGGAGGTCCACATGGATAACAGGTCGGAATTCCAAGGGGAGGTAGAGCAACATCTTGTAAGGGCCGACATTAAGATTCCGTACTCACCAGGGCACTGGCCATAGGCCAACGGACTCGTAGAAAACTCCAACCGGATGATTAAGATTGCCCTTAGACGGAATATCACAGCAGGGGATATCAGGCCCTGGCTGGTCATAGTCGACCACATCTTGGCCGTCTATCGGGCTACCCCACACGACAGTACAGGGGTGTCCCCATTTCAGCTGAGAACCAATAGCATCCCCCGGGTCCAGTTATCGCCCCTAGTAGGTACGAAAGTTAGAGCGACTTGGGCTCAACACCGAGAAAAAGCCCAGCATTGCATAGACCTGATGAATAGGACATACCCCGCGTTAGCCCGAAGGCGACAGAGGGCCGTAGATCTGACGCACCAACGACAGATCAGAGATTACGAGAACCGACATGCATCCGCTGGACCGATGCCCCGCTATAAGATCGGAGATCTAGTGCAGGTACGGAAATCTGCGCGCTCCTCCAAAATCCGCCCTCGCTATACTGGCATTTACCAAGTGATTGAAGTTGGTGCACAAGGCCAGCACTCCGTGAGGCTGATCCCCCGGCACAACACGCAGGCCCGACCGCTGACTTGCCACGTTGCTGCCCTTCATCTGTTCCAGCGGTCGTTGGATCGCAAGCGGGCCCAGGCCCCGGCCCAACTTTCTCCCTCTGCTTCCTCGTCCTCCCTCGCTTCCTCTTCTTCCTCCCTCCAATCCACTTCGCCATTTGAGGTCGAGAACTCGATCGTGCAGGATGAGCCAGCAGCAGCAGGGGAATGAGCCAGTTGAGCACTTTCAAGCGTTGATCGTGGATCACTTATTGCGGCATCGGTTCAATGATGATCGGCAGTTGCGTTACGACGTCCAGCAGGTGAACGTACCCGGGCCCAACATCGCAGATCTTGCCACGTACTCGCTCCTGAGCGAATGAATGACGTACGCGGGGGTGTATGTGGATATTACGCAGCTGCCTGGCCGGGAAACTACCAGGGTGTTCATCGAGTTTCACACGCTCCAGGTGGCGGTTAATTTTGTGCACAGCGTGGCCACGTTCATCGGCGAATCGACAGCGATCTGACGCCCTTGGACGATCAACACCGAGGCTCGGTATGGAGTTTCCTGTGAGATTATGCGGTGCAAGTGGCGAGGTCGGTGGCACGAGTGCAGGGAAGGGGCCATCGATTCACACCATACCACGCATTGTTGCGACGCGCACCGAACGGGCCGCTGGCCCTAGTGCCGCAGTTGCTCGCGCTTCTTCCTCTTGCTGAGCCTCTCAACATCCAAGCCATCCCTCCTCCCTCTTACTAAATGCCTCCCTTCTTCTCCTACACCACCCTCCCCTATCAACTCACAGAAAGCCCCTACCCTATGCGCAACTTCTCGGAGTATTTGGTGGAGCTGGAGAACGTGGAGCCGCTGCCGCAAGTTGAGGAGGACGTGTGGGAATTACACCGCGCGCTGTATCGATCGGTGGTGCTGGGCATGTTCCGGTTCTCAGTGGAGTACGGCGATCACAACATCGCCGAGAACTTGCAAGTGTATTACGTTATCTCGCGGCCGAAGCTGGAGAGGAAGGAGGGCACGGTGGCATTATACCCGTTCGGGGAAATCGAGACGAGCAGGTCGGGATTGCTGGAGCTTATACATATCGAGTTCATGTCTATCGTCCAAGTGATCGCCAGCGAAGAAGAGGATCTCCAACTCCGCCTACGAATGACATCGGCTCCGCGGCGATCTTACCACGCTGTGGTGATACCAGACTATATCGCGCGGTGGGGAGAAAAGGTGGTAAGCATTGCCGATCAGAAATCGTTGTGGCCTCCCTCGTCCTACCCCAAGCCAATAGCCCCGAGGGCCCTCAGGAAGACGCCCAAGAAGAGACGTTGCCAACCATCGCCAGAAGCGCAAGGAAGCCGAGTGGGACCCGGAGAAGAGGTGGACCAGGTTGGGCGGGTGCGGAAGCCAGATCCCATTCCAGAGAGCAAGGCAACAGCGATCGAGGGACCTCCGCCGCGGGAAGGAGCGGGAACAAGCAGATTTCGAAAACACGAGAGCCCTCCGGAGCGGATACCAGCGCCGCCGCTCCTTCCCGACCTCAATCTCGATGGAGCCGGCCCATCAACACCAGCAGGAGGAGGAGTGGGAGGAGTACCATATCCCACATCCAGACCCCCCATCCTCGCAGGACCTTTCCACTTCCGCCAGCCACCTAGGCGTGCCCCGGTCATTGACCTTAGCAGTTCCTCCGAGCCGGACGGTCCACCCGACAGATGTAGCATTCATGGTGGAACCTGCAACCATCTGGCTCGAAGCGATCGAGGGGGCCCCTCGTCCTGATCCTGCATGGGAGCCATATCGCCCTTTGAAGGATGCATTGCGGCCAGGCTGGCAGGAACGTTCATCTACGAGGCCGGCCAGCGGCCGAATGTAATGTACCGCTTCCTCGTCATCGCGGTACTCAGGAGGGAGCGAAGGCCGTGTACCGAGACCCATCTGGTAATAACGGGCCCTGGGAATCGAACGGTGTGGCGACGGGTTGTACGGGCTACTGCAGATCTGGCGCCACACGTCTTGGCACACGTACCGGGGGCGTTTCTCTATCCCTCCTTTGTCCAACACCACTTCAATGAGGTGGAGGGACCAACGACTCTGGCTGAGCTGGCAGCCTTTCTTCCTCCCCTTCCTCCCCCTCTCAATCCATAGATCGACCATTTCCTCTGATCTCTTTCTCCTTCTTCCCCTTTGTCTACAAAGATCGCGCAGCAAGACGTGTTGTACATGCTAAAATAAAATAAAAAAGATTAAAAAAAAAAAATCGATCGGGCTAGCTGACGATGAAGGGGCCGCCCGGATCGGGCGTACAATAGGTAGACTGATCTACAACGAGGCGGGATGCATCGACATAGAATAGGCGAAGGTTTGGGCCAGTTGACGATGAAGTGGCCGCCCGGATCTTCAAAGTAACTAGGACACTCACACATCAGTTAGGAGACTGCTGGTTTTTCGGAACCCCTTGCGCATCACAGATGTGATAAGCCAGGACCCGTACTCAACGGTTTCCCGTACCCTTTGGGAAAAATCCCACGTAAGGCCTCGGAGTACAGGCTCTGGATAGTTGGGAAGAACGAGGTTTTTGTTTTCTTTCCTTCTTTTTCTTTCTTTGAAAAAGGGACGGGTCTCGTGGCCGGTTAGCAGCCGCACCAAGAAATTCAAGAAACGGTTGGGGACTAGCAGGAGTAGGAATTTTGAATTTTTTCACGTGGGGCTGTTTTCGAATTTTTGTGCGCCGCGTAAACCCGTTCTCCCGCTCTGGATCCCCGCGCCATCTTCCCTTCTTGCTATGCAGCTCCCTCCTACATGTCTCTTTGTCTTCCCTCTAAGTGAAGTCCGATCCCCTCCTCCTCCTTTCCCTGCGAATGATTGGCTGTCTGAGTGGGATGGTCGGGGCAATGAGGTGGCTGCGGGAAGCGCACCCCACTTGGACGACCACCCCAATCACGCAGACCAGTCGACTCGCCTCCTTCGATTCCTCTGGAAACTTCTGCCCTTCTTTTGTCCTTCTCATCTACATCCTGTGCTTTGCACAGCCTCCCCGCCGCCTTCAGCGCTATAAATTCTCGCAAACCCCTCCTCTCACTCTCTTGGATCTCGGCTGAAAGTTGCGCAAGCTATGCGCGAAGCCCGCGGCGCCGGAAAGGCTCGACGTGCCCCGTGGTGGGCTGAGTGATGGCGGGTGGCGGAGTTAGCGGTGGACTTGGGGTGAGGCAGTTGGAGGGACGGAGCAGTGGTGGAGATCAGACGTCGACAGCGCCAGGGCCTTGTGGCTATGGTTGCCGGTGATCTCGACGGACCGGGTGGAGACTGGGCCCGAAAAGCCCAGTCATGAGAATTCTTTATTTTTAAGACGAAGTTTTTTCTCCATTGCTGCTTTGCCCCCCCCGTGTGATGTGTGCAAGTTCCCCAATGTAGGACAGTGTATGGTCTGCCTTCTCGGGTATGGAAGTCTATGGATGTGAATGTTTTAGTAAGAGCGGATGACCATAGGGCATCGAGTGTTGATTGCTGACATGAGTGCATGAGTGGGTCGGTCCTTTCCATCTTCCTCCCCGTTTCTTGATTAATTGTCCTTAGCCTGTGCGAGTGTGTGTGTGCGATATGCGCCCTCCTCCCTTCGCCATCTCTCTCTCTCTTCGTGCGCAGGTCGGGACTGAAAGGGGAGGAGGACACTTCTAGGTAGATCGGCCACCCGCGTACGCGCGGAGCGGCCGGCCTATCTATTTCCACCCAGGGGGCCCGGCGCCGCATTTAGGTGGAGGCTACGGAGAAGAGACGGAGAAAGGGAATTGAGCGAATTCTTCTGCGACGATATTCATTGAGTTTTGCATGGAGTCAGGTTTCGTCCCGAGGAACGGAAGCGCGGGCCGTGGCCCGAGCTCGAACCTCGTCCCCGGGTGTCACAACACGATTCCGCCTTTCCCAATCGCAGATGACGATGGCGTATACTGCGATGCGGACGTGAGGAGCCTGCTACGGCGCACGGAGCCAATCCATCCTTATTACCCGACCCATGCGTGCCACATAGGTGGGAGTGGGTTTGTGCTGATTGAGTGATTTGTTTGACCGCCTCTCATCTTGCCGTATACCGACCTCACGGTGCTGCCCTGGTCTACCGTGCACGCCATCTGGCAACCGCGTTTCGAGTGTCACTGGTGTCGCGAGGGAGACTCGTGCTCGTGGCGATGGTTGGTCCTGGGATACGAAGGGGCTACCCGATTCCCCGAACTCTCCCGCAACGCGGGTGCGCTCCCCGCCCGTTTTCAAACTTGGGTCCCACGGACTTGCCCGACCCCGAGCGAACCCGTGCCGAACCGATCACACGGACTCAACGAGTCTGACAACGAGGCCTAACCCGCCTCCGGAGCATCGGGCCCTGAAAGGGCCGCGCTTCGGGGGACAGAACTCCGTTCCCAACGACCCCGTTGCTCCTTTTTCTTTTTCCTCGCGTTCGTTTCTTTTCTTTTTCTCGGAAGCGCTGACGATAGGTCCGTAAGGCCTCGTTCTTCTGCGATCTGCTTTCGGCGACAGCTCGAACCCCGTCCCGGCACCTCGGGCTGAGACAAGAGTCCCCCGTTCTGCCCGGGTGACTCAACCCCCACGGCCAAAAATCCTCGGCCACGCCCCGAACAACTCTGATCGGCGTCCGAAGTTTGGGACGTCGTGTGGGGTGTGAGGTTGCGCATCACATGCTACCGTTTCTCGCGGAATCATTCAGCTCTTTGGAGGCTTAGTGCTCTGTCCCTCTCTCTGTGCATATGAATGTCTCTATTTGTCTCTTTCACCTTGCTCGTCACACCATCATTCCTTCCGATTTCTCATATTTAAATCTTTAACTGGCTCTCCTATCCCATCTCTCTCCCATCCCTCCCATCTCTCCCATCTCTCTCTCTCTCTCTCTCTCTCTCTCTCTCTCTCTCTCTCTCTCTCTCTCTCTCTGTGTGTGTGTGTGTGTGTGTGTGTGTGGATCAAAAATAGTCATGAGAGGGAGGCCACTGGACGTCAGTCGGTGACCTCTCAGAGAGTCATGTTTGGATCAACAATAGTCATAAGAGAGTCCATTGGATCAACAATAAATCATGATATGAAGACAGCCTATGTCTTTTGTGTCACAATCTTTCCTGCCTTGCTGCTTTGTGTTGTTTGTCTACACATTCAACACGGAGCAAAGCGGCACATCATCTACTCACATCATGAGTGAGCCCCACACCACCCGCTGAGCCAGGAAGGGACTCTGATGGACGTCAATCATTACCCACAGACCTTGTGCACCACAGACACCACGGACAGAGCAGTCCCCCTAAGGGTCCTCCAGGCACTCCAAACCACGGACAAACTACTGTTTAGCACTTCTTAAAGGTACTCACCCGGACACAGAAAATACTTTGAAAAAATTAGGGGAAAGACAAGCAATAAGAGGAAGATAGACATACAAAATACTGGCCCGTGTGTGTGTGTGTGTGTGTGTGTGTGTCCCATCCGTTGTCCCTCCATAACAGAGGTGGCAACCAGGAGTTTTAGGATTTACCTGTACCCAACCTAACTGCACCCTCTTTGAAAACCAACCACTCATACCCACTGTATACCTGGCCTACCGGACGTTTACCCATCTCTACCTGCTCCAAAAGAAATAGATGTGTACCCATACCTGCCCTACCTGAAGCTCTTCAAACTGTAACTGCCCATACCTGCCCATGGACTTTTTTTTTTTCAAGACCACCCATGGCCACCTAAACCCAAACTGTTTGTTAACCACACGTACCCTACGCAGCCCAGGTTTTCTTTACCCATACCAACCCACAATTTTATGCACCAGCCACGCCCGTCTCCTGAGTCCTGACGCCTTCTTCGATTGCCGATGACACCTGCAACGCCCTCCTGCTGGGTCACACCTGTGATGCCAGCCATGGAAGCTATGGAGGATGGACAATTACAGGCGGCGAGGAGGACAACGGGTGGGGACGTAAGCGACGGGCGGAGACTCCGGAGAGCAGTGGCAACAGGGAATGGAAAGGGGCAGGGGGCAATGGGCCTCGCTCCACAACTCACGAAATGTTGAAAATGAGAATGAATCTTCCGCTGGAACATGGGAAGATATACCGTCTTTTTGTTTTCTTCTTTGCATTTCATGAGAAGTGGAGCGAGGCGCACTCGAAAGGCCCAACTCGAAGATGGGAAACTTTTGGACTTTCAACAAGGCAGCGGCCCGGTGGCGGGGCAGAAAGTTATTTTTTTTCTGTTTGGGACTTTCGATGTGGCAGCAGGAGAAAACAATTTGGGCCTAGAACTTGTGGCGGTGGGAGAGGGGTGCAGAGGGAGGGGGGTGCCTGGGTCGAGGGGTTAGAATGGGTAGTACCAGGTATTCCACGGTAACCGTTACCCGATAGGAACTTCTACCCGCCCGTACCCATACCAGTATTTTTTTGTTGCCACCCCTACCTGCCCATACCCGTTCTATTTTTCTTTGGCCTCCCATACCAGGGTTCCCCCCCGCCCCTCCCCTGCCCCTACTTGCCCCTACCTACCCATGATCTCCATAAGGGCAACTGTGACCGCCCTAACAACGGCCACTATTTTCTTTGCCTGCCCATACCCAACTCCCCCTTCGAAAGGGGTACTCAGCCCCACCCGTAACCTGGCGGTTACAGTTGGGTGCGGTCGGGTACCTGGTGGTTACAGTTGGTTACGGTCTGGTACCTGGTGGTTACAGTTGGTTACGGTCGGGTATGGACAATGGCTACACGTTTGCCCTCTCTGCTCCGTAATGATGGTTGAACCCTCTGACCGTTGTTGGCAGACTGTCCACAAGCAGAA